AGTTTGCTTTTTTGTATCAGCAAGGATGAATCAAATGAATTCCTCTCCTGTCTCCCTTTATGGATGGCAGCTGACTGTACATTTCTGTCTGAGGGCCATGCTCTCCTTTAAAGCAGCCACAGACAAGTCGTTGGTCTGAGTAACACTGGTTTGGTGATGAAGACCTCGCTCGCTGAAGGCATGGCGAGGTGAGGCCCTTTACAGCCGTCTCGTAGGACTAAAGAGTGGTTCTTGCTCTTCCGTTAGTATTTCTGTCTAAGGACTTGGAAAGCTTCAGAGAAAAGAATTTTTATAACCAAATCAAATTATTTATTTTACTGAGAATTTTTTTTTAAGTTTAGTAACTGCAGTTGTAGAGGTGGAGGGAATGTAGTTTGTCTAGAGTGTCAGCTGAGGTAGAAGAAACAGGATTATAACCAGAGATGTTTGGAATGCTACCTAAGCATCCTGCCTCATCCTGCACCGCCTCCCTGACCCCAAAGAGGTTAAGAGGCAAAAGCAGATATGCCAGCAATGGAGCTGTGAAATCCCAGTGACCTGGCTTTAGTCCTTGTGCCTCCACCCCAATTCCTTCCTCCCTCCATGCCTCTGTAAAGTGCAGACACAACCACCTGGTTCATGGCCTTCTGGTAAAGGATTAAAATAGGTGGAGAGCTCCGGCTGCTGGCACAGTGCCTGTTAGGGAGTAAGCATTAATAAGTGGAGGCCGTTCTTGCTCAGAAGTGATCAGAAATGACCGGGCATGAGACTGGCTGTAAACTTCCTGGAGGTGAGAGGAAGAGAGACTGAGGTGAGTTACTGAGCACTCACAGCCCAGCAGCCCCTGTCTTTCTCCTGGGCTGCGTATGGGGGTACTGGATGTGGATGCAAGGAGAGAGGCACTGCCAGGCCATCCACAGTGGGCGTGGAAGGCATTCACGCAGCCAGATGTAGAGCTTGACCTGAGGAGCAGTGGAGGAGGCTGTCCCTTAAAGGAGACCTTCCACTGGACGTCGTGAAAGGAACGTAACAGCTTAAGAGTTGTTCTCTTTGCAGGGGGAGGAGAAAGTGAGAAACTTGGGAAACCAGCTAAGCTGTGGTGGCGCAGACAGTCTATTGGAAAATGATAGAGACCTGCTCAGTGTAGATAATTTTCTCTATGGAAGGCTTCCCTTCCATCTGGAGGGGACCTAGGGATGACTATGAGCAAAGCACCATTTTCCTTGAGACTTGCCCCAGAGTTTGAATCAACGCCTCCCTGAGACCTGAAAGTTTCATGGTGCAAAGGATGGAAGAAATGCCCTTGATTTAAAACTGTTGTAGAGCAGGTCTTCATAGCTATTCGCCGTGACTGCAGGAAGACCACAGAAATGTGTCCATGGACCTTCTAGTTTTAAGCAGTTTATCCTCAAAGGCTGAGTTTGCTATAAAATAATTGATCAGCTGTATGTAATTATTACCAGTCACTTAAATAATTGGACAATGACTAACAAATACAATAACTTTTGTTGCTCTCTGGTTGATTTCAACCTTTTCTCCTGACAGTAGGTAAGGGACCATTTGTTTCTTGCGGTTCATAACAAGATTCTGTCATGTGTATATGGGAAGATACTGTTCTTCAGCGTGTCTCTGGAGGTGGGGGTACAACTCCTTTAAAAAGTGATATTATCATTAATAATTACTTGGTTTTTCTTAAGTGTTGGGAGAGATAGACTAAAATACTTCCTCCCTCCCAACTTTAAATTCTGTTTTGAACAGAGGAATCTTTTCCTGATGTGAGAAAGATTAGATTGCAAATCAGTAGCCATCATCATTCTTAATTATGAAACGTTTATGACAATTTCATTAAACCAAGTGCCAAGATCACTACTATCATCATTTATGATGATAGTACATCAAAATAATACTATTTTGGAAGTTCTGGGCAATTCCATATGACCTAAAACAGAAAAAGAGGAATGGTCGATTGGAAAGAATGAGCTAGACTCATCATTATTCATAGGCAGTGTATTTGTATACTTATAAAACCCAGAGAGAATCACCAAAAAGTTAATGAAGTTAATGAAGAATTTAGTGAAGTAACTAAAGGAAAGTATCAGCAATTATCAACAAGAAGCTTTTATGGGGAAAATACATGTATAGAACTATATTTCCCCCAAATATTCATGAAGTATCTAGCAATAATCTTAAGAGAAACATACGGAACTTTTTGGTGAAGAAAACTTTGAACTTTAATTGCTGAGAAAAATTAAAAGAGAGAATCATACTATGTTTCTGTATAGAAAAATAGAATATTATGAGATTGTCACTTCTTGCCAAACTTAATTTATATGTTTAATGCAATTTTTTTTGTATTTTGAATCTATTTTTTTTTTCTTTTTTTTTGTGTGTGGAAGATTGGCCCTGAGCTAACATCTGTTGCCAGTCTTCCTCTTTTTGCTTGAGGGAGCTTGTCGCTGAGCTAACATCTGTGTCAGTCTTCCTCTATTTTGTATGTGGGACACCATCACAGTGTGGCCTAATGAGCGGTGTGTAGGTCCACACCTAGGATTCGAACCTGTGAACCCTGGGCTGCTGAAGTGGAGTGCGTGGACTTAACCACTGTGCTACTGGGCCAGCCCCTTGAATCTATTTTTATTCATTTAACATTATAAGAATTTAATCTAAGCATCATTCTGTTAAGAGTATATATAATGCTGTGGTTAAACATTCCTTATTTACTTAAAATTTAAGTCATTTCCACTTGTTTTCCATGATGAGAAATGCTGTGAAGAAAATCTTTACACATAGATGTTCTCCCTTATTATTATCATTATTTTTTGTATTTCCTATGACAAATTCTCATATATGGAATTATTAGATCAAAGAAGACAATTTAAAATTATCAGTATTATCAATATGCAGCTCAATGTGACTTTAGTCAGAATCTCTATGGGATTAAAAAGTTGAATAACTGACTAATTTGGGAAAAAATACATGAATATAAATATAGCTAAGTAAAAGTAAAAAATAAATTGTGAGGAAGAAAAGCTGGCCTTCCAAGTATTGTGAAATGTTGTAAAGATAAAGTATTTGAATCAATGTGGTACCAGTGGAAGTATTGGTTGATAGGCTAATGGGATAAATTTGATTACCCAGAAATAGAATTTGGTCTCTCTGGGAATTAATATATGCTAAAGGAGTCATTGCAAATTTGTGAATTTGGGGGACATTATTTAACAGGGGGAATTGATATAGTTGGATAATTTTTTGAGAAAAAATTAATCCTCATCTTGTATCATGTACCAAAACAACATCCTGGTGGATTAAAGGGTGAAATGTAAACCAAGTCAGAAGACTGGGAGCCACCCATGTGTTCGCTCGCTTGGCAGATAGGTGCCCAGCCGCGGTCTCTGCCAACTGTGGGTTCCCACGAGGCAGCTCAGTCCCGGGGGAGCTGCAGGTCCCCTGAGGGAGGAGGGTGAGCAGGGCCAGCTCTGCCAGGAGGAAAGCACAGACGCCGTGGTGGCTTTGACACAGGCGCTGCCCTGACTGGGATTCGGGGGATGGCCTCCTTCAGAATGGATGTCTGACTGAGAGCTGGAGAGAGTCCGAGATGAGGAAGCTGGAGGAGGGAGCCTTCCAGCCAGTGAGAACTGTGTGCTTGAAGGCCCCGTGGGCGTGCCGAGTGGACCCAAGATGTGAAGCGACTGAAGAACCAGAGCGGGGAGCCTCGAAGTGGAGCGCGTGGCGGGAGTTGGGTCTTACAAGGCTTTAATGCCGTGCTGAGCAGCTTAGGCGTAAATCTTGAAGGTCTGAGGAGTGATTGAAAACTGGGTAGTGAGCCAGTGTGTTTAAAGCATGGTTCTGCCGCCGCTTGGAGCCCGGACGGGAAAGTGATTGGAGCACAGCTCAGACTTGGTGGTGATTTGGAGCAGGGAGATAGTGAACTGGATTAGTCAGGAGACTTTTAGGTGGTAGGATAAAAAAGATGGAGCGCTGAGTCCAAGGCGGGCGCTGGTGCCCAGGAGTAGGGTGGAGGAGGAGTCAAGGCCGGTAACTCTTGGCTCAGATAGCCCTCGCACCTCTCAGGCTCTCAGTAGCCCTATCTGAAATGTCCTCTCTCCCCTCCCTGCAAGGATTCTTATTTCTTTGATTTACTGATGTATCCTCAGCACCTAAAAATAGTGATTGTTATGTCGTAGTGCTCAATGAATGTTTGTTGAAAAGCGAATTGAAGGAAGGATAGGTCCCAGATTTCTGACTTGAGCAGCTGGGTAGGTGGGGCAGATGTTTCCTGAGGCTGGGACACTAGAGAAGGAACAGGTGTGCAGGAAGCTGTATCCGATGATGGGCCCAAGGCTTTGGTGTGGAATGAATCCAGTCACAAACGCCAGACTAGGGCAACATTTGCAACAAATAATGTGGACTCAGTCTTTAATATGTAAAGAGTATATGAAAATTAATCAGAAAAAATCACTAATGCCAGTAAGTAAATGGCAGTATAAACACGATTAGAAAATCCACAAATGATAAAAGATACAAGTAGTGAATACATATTTGAAAAAAAAATTCAGCCTTTCTAATCCTGAAGAATGCAAACTAAATCCCTATGACAATTTTTCTCTTATCAAATGATTTAACTATGTTACATAACAAGAATAGTGATAGGGTGGTCAGAGTGTAAATTTGTACAAAGTTTTTGTAAAGTAATTTGGCAGAATATATCAAGTGCCTTAAAATGTTTATGTCTTTTGATCAAAAAATTTTGCTTCTGGAAATGTATCATAAGGGAGCCTGAGAAAAAGGCCTCTGCTGCCATGAGCCCCTCCCCATCCACCCACTTTACTCTGAAACCCCGTCTTCCAGGATGGAAGTCACTTGTGAAATAATACCGTGCGGCACAGGCAGTAGGTGAGCGAAGAATGGCTGGAGAGGCAGAGTGGTGGGGAGAGGGCTTTGTCTGTTCCCGGGACATTTTAGCAACAGCTGCGTCAGTGAGTTGCACATTGAAATATTTGTTTTTTCTGTTGTGTTTCCAGATGAAGACCGTCAGTGTTGCCTTAGTTTTGTGCTTGAATGTCGGTGTGGACCCTCCAGATGTGGTGAAGACCACCCCCTGTGCACGCTTAGAATGCTGGATCGGTAAGCATGGGTCCCTCCTTACAGCCTGTCTCCAAGGTCACTGTGTTCGAAGGTCACTTTGTAGCGGTTCTGGGCTTGGCAGGCCTTGTCTTCCACTGCCCTGGGCCAGTGGAGGCCTGTCACTAGTATGTGTAAATCTGAGGCTTTTATTTCTTTTTGGAGTTACGTAACATTTAAGTTATTTTAGATGCATTCACTATGATTTGTAGTGGAGAAAGTGTTTCAAGGAAAATTAATAAAATAGTGACTGTTGGATTATATAATTTTCTCATTTAAATTTGCCCTGTATCTGGCACATAATAGTAGCTATATACACTTAAAATGTAATGACGGATACCTGTATGCAGGTACTTCACTTCCACAGCAAGGAGTCCTAGTTCGTTGCACAAGAAGGCCTGCTCAATTCTTTGTCATCATCCTCCCCGGAGCATCTTTAGTCCAGTGTTGAATGGAAGTGATGAGAGTGTGTGTAACCTTCACTTGTTTCTGACCATTAGGCTCTTACCATTAAGTGTGACATTAGCCAGAGTTATTTTTCAGATGCCTTTTATAAAGTAAGAAGTTCACTTTTCTTCTCAGTTTGCTAAGAGTTTTTGTCAAGAATCAATGTTGAACCTTACAAAATGCTTTCTCAACATCTCTTGAGATAATCACCTGGCTGTTTTTTTTTTCTGAAGATTGGCACCTGATTTGCATCTGTTGCAAATCTTTTGTTTTTCCTTTCTCCCCAAAGCCCCGCAGTACATAGTTGTCTATTCTAGTTGTAGGTCCTTCTGGCTCCGCATGTGAGATGCCGCCTCAGTGTGGCCTGATGAGTGGTGCCATGTCCACACCCAGGATCCGAACCGGTGAAACCCTGGGCCGCCGAAGCGGAGCATGCAATCTCAACCACTCAGCCACAGGGCTGGCCCCTGGCTTTTCTTTTTTAGTCTGTTGATGTAGTGAATTATATTCATTGAGTTTTGGTTGTTGAGCCAACCTTGAAGTTCTAGAATTGAACTAATTTGTATTATCTTTTTTCTATATTGCTGGATGTGATGCCTAGTGTTTTGTTAAGGAATTTTGCGTCTCTGTTTATCAGGGATATCAGGCTATAGTTTCCGTTTCTTGCAACATCTTTGTCTGGTTTTGGTACCAAGATAATGCTGGCCTCATGAAGTGAGTTGAGAAGTATTCCCGTCTTTTCTGTTTTATGGAAGAGTTTGTATTGAATTGGGTATTATTTCTTCTCTAAATTTTGGTGTAATTTACCAATGAGGCCATGTCTGTGTGGATTTTCCTTTGTTTCCATTGTTGATTATTCACCTTTCTCTTACTGATGGGATTGGGGGCAACATCTGTCCGCCTCTCCCAGCTTTCTCCATCCTAAGCAAAAGCAGAAATTCCCTTTATCGACTTTAAATAAAAATGACAAATTATTCTAATCTGAATTGGAAAAAAGTTTTTCCCACTTTACTTGCTTGTCTCACTATTTGGGGGTGTCTTACGATGACAGTCCTAGGCCCCTTGTCCCCTTCCCAGTGACAGTGATCGTTTTCTGTGGCCAGTTTTCTTAGCTGCTTTCTTGGCCCTCTGCCATCTCCTGGTGACTGTGCCTGTTGAAATTGACTTCTGATTAGCCACCACTGGCTGTTTCCGCTTCATTTATCCCTTGTCAAACTGAATTTAATCAATTGTTTTCTATTTTCTCCCTCTTTAAGTACTCCTGTGTTAGGTTTTTTAGAATAGGGCTTCTCAACCTGGATCCCGGTGTGCTCCTGGGGAGAGTGAACCCTGTGGGATTGTGGGGGTGGTGGTGTCAGCGTAGAACTGCACCTTTCAGGCCAAGGACGCTTGATTTTTATTAGATTCTCTAGTGGTCCTTTACCCCACCCTCTAATAAAAAGAACTGGAAGAACCCTCCGTCACACCTCACGTAATCTCTTTGATCAGTATTTATGGAACAGTGCTAATGAAAATGAAACAGATTCCTTATTTCCTTCTTGGAAGGAAGCAAGCAAATGAATAGATTTTTTTATATTGTGTTTTAAAAAATTTTCTGCAATTTCAGAATATAATCTACTTTGTAATCATTTCAATGGATTTTGAGTTCAGAAGGGCATATGCCTTTTCTAAGTTGAAAAATTTCCTTTGGCCTTTGTTAAAAAGTGGGTATGGCTGGTCCTTGTGATGGTAATTTTAACAATATGGTGTAAGGAAAAAAAGAATCCTAGAGATTTGAGTCAGCCAATTTGCAGTGGTATCTAGCAGTATGTATTTTAATTTTTATTTTTGGAAAAAAAATCAAAAGTTGCAAGTGCAGTACTAAGCAGTTTTTTCCCGATTCATTTGAGAGTAAGCTGGTGAATGATGCTCCATCACCTCTGAATCCTTTAGTGTGCAATTCCTACCAATGAGAATTTCTCTTTCCTAATCACAACTCGGTCATCAGAATCAGGGAATTAACATGCACACTGTACTACCGTGTAAGCCTCAGACTGCATCCAGGTTTGCCAGTTGTCCCAATAATGTCCTTACGGCACAAGAACCCTGCTCAGTATCATGCGTGGCCCTTAATTTAGTCTCATTCAACCTGGAGCAAAGATCCCAGTCTTTCCTTGACCTTCATGATCTTGCTGTTCAGCAGGTCACAGGCTCTTTGTTTAGCGGACCTTCCCTTATGTTTCCTCAGGATTAAATCTCAATGATGCCTCTTTCTGCCTTCTTCCCATGGTGTCCTATGAGGTGGCACGTGATTTTGGTTTATCCCATTACTAGTTATGCAACTCTCTTATCACTTGATTAAGTTGGTGCCTGCTGGAACTCCTTGCTGAGAAATCTCCCTTTCCTCTTTGTAGTTAATAAGTATTTTGGGGAAGTAGTGCTTTGGCTGTGTAAATGTTCCTCTCCTCATCAGACTTTCAGTTTATTCAGTTTGAATTCATTGTTCCTTTTTTATTCAGTGGATTATAATTCGTTACTACTGTCATTTATCTTGGTACTCGACTTGTTTCCCATTTAGCCAGCAAGGACACATTCCCATGGGCTTATATGGCCTTCCGTCTTGCTTCCATTGTTCTTTGAGTACTTCCTTCCTCTCTGGCTCATCCTCTTCTTTCCTGCCCCATTCCTGCTATCAGCCTTTTCTCCTGTTAGTAGCTTCTGGAATTTAGAACCCAGGATCTGGGTGCCGGGTGTGCTCACTGGAACTAGTGATGTTGTTCCCAGGACCTCTCTCATTGGACAGAGCAGGGGGACACATTCATGCATGTGTGTGCATAATGTGTGTATGTGTTTCTATGTGTATACACACATTCCTATCTGTATTTCTGTACTATCTATATACGTGCATTTACACTCATGCCTCTCATTCCAACCCAACAGGAATTCCATATTTGTAACTCCCTCTTCTGACGGTGAGAACTTTGGTATCCTTTATCCTTAATATATTTCCTAATTTGATGAATCCTGCTGTGTGAACCAGCTTCTCATCCCTGCTGTCAGCACCCTCTCAGACTCCTATATCCTGCACCAAGTGTTTCCCCACAGGTGTCTGTCCTCCTCGTTCCCTGGGCTCCAACACCCCATGTGGGACACCTCTCCATGGACATGCCTTCTTTCTCTGACAGCTCATTCCAGGCCACCACAGTTCCCCTCATCCTGGAGCAGATGCCAACCTTGCCCAGACGCACCTAATGGCTTTAGGATTGTTCAAGAAGGGATTTCAGCATTTTCACCCAGTGCTTTAGGTTTTTCTGGCTTGGCCAGCCCAAGGATGATGATGTAGCAGTAACTAAGATTGAGAGTTGGGGACCAGCTGGGGATTAAGGTGCTTCTGGGATGCTCAGGGTAGAGCCAGCTTCCAGCAGACAGCTGGGAGGGCCTACTGGTTGGAGAAGGGGACTTCAGGGAGGTCACCTGCTGAGAATGAGCAGTGACCAGAGGGAGAGGAGCAGAGCCAGGGCCCTGAGAGTGTTGGGAGGGGTGCTTCCTGTGACAGAAACCCTGCTGGGCAGGCAGAGGTGGGAGCAGGGCCGGGTGGTACTGATGAGGAGTTTCAGGTCGGCGTTATCACAAGCCGTGGCAGCAGTTGAGTGAGAGTTGGGGGCCAGGCAGGCTGTAGGGGGCTGGGTGGAAACTTGACCTGCTTCCTGCATCTGCACCTCTTCTGCTTTGTTCTGTGTGCTCACTCTAAAAGAGGAGAAAGAACCATGTCTTCTGCACCCACTTCTTCCGTGGGCCTGCCTAGTGGGACAGCTGCTCCACCCGGGCTGGCTGTCTCTACCAGGTGTCTGGTAGTAAAATGCATGATGTCTCTCATTTTATTTTACAAAGTAGACATTAAATATATCAGGTGTCAACCCGAGAGTCTTGCGTGCTTTACCTTAGGCCTGTGCGCGTGGGGGTCTCTGTTCATGGGGCAGGGGGTTTAGGAGTTAATTGCTTTTCAGCTGCAGGCACATGTCCAACCAACGGAGACCATGCTCCTTGGAACTGCTCTGATCTCAGGCACGCGGGCTGTGGGTAGCTTGAGAAATAGATTCCTACTTTTCAGTCTGTTTTTGTGTACCTGTGCGTGCATTGCCTCCTCACACGGTGGAGAGAGTACTGCTTCCAGAGGCTCAGGGAACGTATGTGTAAGTGTTCATCCAGTGGCCACGTAGGTTTTCCGGTGGTGACAGGAACCTTTATTGCCAGAATAAACCAGTGGAGATGCACTGTGCTCCTCTGAAGCGACTGCGTGGCCTCACTGACAGTCAGCTACCCCTCGCTGCCGTGGCTCTTGCACAGGAAGGGCTCAGATTTGGGATTCCGGCGGAGTAAGGAATGAGCGCATGGACCTGAGTGGCGTGTTGGGAATGAGCGAAGATGTGGACGTTGAAAGCTGTCAGGCATTTTCCGGGCTCTAACATGCTGACTGTCAACACCTCTCCCCACCCCTGCCCTTCATTCGTCTAGGTAATAAGATGATGTTTTATTTCATGGAAGTAACACTCGTCTCTTTCCAGAGAAGCAGGGGA